ATGCATAGCCTCTGCATTCAAGAATGCCCCTTTTCCCCAGTGCAAGCCAATCAGAACTCAGGCAAGTTATTCAAAGTACATTTGTTATTGTAAACTGCACTTAATGCAAGATCTTCTTGAGAAGGTTAATAACTGCAGTCGGTACCTGAAGATTAAGGAGGACAAATAGAGAACTGATTTGCATTATGATTTGATAGCTAGGATAGACAGTTTAGCTCAAACTGAAGTTATACATCTTTTAGTACCTCCCTTCCCCAGTTGCAGCAGACTGGTTGAAATATTTTCATTTAAGCTGTCTGGCAGCCATCTGTATTCGTGATAAAAGAAATGAGTCAAACATGCTCAGAAAACATCCCGATAATGGTGGTGGGTGAGCAGACATGCAAGTTTCAGAGTCAAATATCACTCTTAGAAGAAAAATACTATCTCTCTCTCTCCCCCCCCCATGTGTGTGTGTGTGTGTGTGTGTGTGTGTGTGTGAGAGAGAGAGAGAGAGTGAGAGAGAGAGAGAGAGAGAGAGAGAGAGAGAGAGAGAGAGATTACTTTTGAATTGAAACAGATCTTTCAGACTTCAGAATAGTAAACAGTGCTACTAAATGGTTTTTACTACCTGAAGTGACATATATTACTCAAGAGCCTACAAGTCTGGCTGATCTTGAAAGCCAAGTGAAAACTGTGCCAAATAATTCTAACTCACAGCTCGTCAGCGTCCAACCAATTCTGTGAGCTGTAGTCTCACTGTACGTTAAAGTCTGTATCTTCCAGAGAACCATGATTCCCAGGAATCACTGCAGCTTCTTCTTTTTTAAACTTATCAGCCATAGGAAGCAAAAGCCAGAACAAGCTGGTGGGCTACAGGTGGGAGAGCAAAACCTACAGGTGTGCAGATGTGGATGTGGGCACCAATTTCTGGCATTCTTAGATAATTCAAGAATTGCAGCCCGTACCAGAAAGGAAAAGGAAAAGCGCATCTCTAATGGCTTCATCACCACCTTCAAATATTGTCAACTGATATTACATTTTGATATGGATTATCATAGATTCTTCTTTCAGATTTGGTCATTCTGAAGGCGTCATTGTTGGAGGTGCCCTTAATGGGCCATTTCTTCTCATACTCCAGAAGTGTAGAGTACAGTTGACACATCCACTGCCCCCAAGGACCAGGGTCATAGTGGAACTTTCCATGCCAAGGGGATGGGGCAAACATACCAAAGACTCCAAATTGACTGAGCCATACCTAGAATGCCACCCAGGCCGTAATTGGGAACTGATGAGCCCACCTTTCGTCGTCGTTCAGTCGTTTAGTTGTGTCCGACTCTTCGTGACCCCATGGACCAGAGCATGCCAGGCCCTCCTGTCTTCTACTGCCTCCCGGAGTTGTGTCAAATTCATGTTGGTTGCTTCGCAGACACTGTCCAGCCATCTCATCCTCGGTTGTCCCCTTCTCCTCTTGCCATCACACTTTCCCAACATCAGGGTCTTTTCCAGGGAGTCTTTTCTTCTCATTAGATGGCCAAAGTACTGGAGCCTCAGCTTCAGGATCTGTCCTTCCAGTGAGCACTCAGGGTTGATTTCCTTTAGAATTGATAGGTTTGTTCTCCATGCAGTCCAGGGGATTCTCAAGAGTCTTCTCCAGCACCACAATTCAAAGGCATCAATTCTTCGGCGGTCTGCTTTCTTTATGGTCCAGCTCTCACTTCCATACATCACGACAGGAAAAACCATAGTCATAGTGGAACTTTCCATGCCAAGGGGACGGGGCAAACATACCAAAGACTCCAAACTGACTGAGCCATACCTAGAATGCCACACAGCCCATAATTGGGAACTGATGAGCCCACCTTTACCGAGCTGCAATACTGAAGGAGGAAAAGGCAGAAGGAATGCCAGAGGCTTCTCTGGCAGCACCAGGGGGTACAGACATCTGTCCAGACCTCCAACCAGGTGTCCAGAAGTTATGAACTGTGCTCTTGTTGTGGTCATATTCACCCTTGCTCGTCAAAGTCTCTAGTTCTGGCTCCATGTGGAGAGTGCCATTAAGAGACAGGGGACATCTGACCACTCCAGTGGAGTTATATGGGGTGTGGAACAGACTAGAACTGAACTGAGCCAGGCCCTTGACTGCTGTTTCTCCAAGTACGACTAGTCCAGAGTTATTTATTTCTCCAATCAAAGCTGCTGTAAACACTTTGTTGTTTAGGACACTGTGTGTTAGTCCATGGATTGGGGATGGAGGAGAGGACCCTAACAGGGTCGACAGGGCTCATGGTCATGCAAACTGTATACTTGATTTCAAACTTCTGTTTTTCTTTATCTTCTGTTTCTCTTTGGAAAAAAGTTTTCAGATACATCCATTGTTTTCATATGCGTTATGTACTGGTAGATGGCTCAGAGGTTTGCCAGAGGTTGGGGGTTTGATTCCCCACTGTCCCTCCTTGTCATGGGCTAGACTTGATGATCCACAGGGTCCCTTCCAGCTCTGCCATTCTAAGATTATGATCATGATGTATGCACTTCTGTCAATTCTCTCATAAATGAGCCTTGTAAGGTGGACCAATATTAGCTCTCCTACTTCAGCAATGGCTAAGAGGATGACAGATTAGGGCCAGCTTGCAAATTCACTTAGCTCTCCTACTTCAGCAATGGCTAAGAAGATGACAGATTTGCCTAGGGCCAGCTTGCAAATTCATGGTTGAGCTGAAATCTGAACCAACACTTCCCAAATCACAGATACATCACAACTACCACACAGCAAAGCCAATTCCCACTATTATAATGAAAAACTCAGACACTGGACTAGAATAACTTTTGTAACAGAGAAATGTACATAAATGCAAACACTCATCCTTTCTCTGAAGGAACACCATATGTTAGGTACGCATAATCCTACTGAAATGAAAGCTCTGATCCCCGGGGGCAAGGCATTTCTGTTCCTGACCTGAGACAGCTAGAGTGAAAGGGTCTGCAGTTTTCCAGTTGAAATAACACCTAATATTCACAACTGAAGACAGATATTTTTCATGCACATTCTACTAATTATAGCCTGTACCATTCAGTACCACTTTCATGTTTAATACTATACTGCATTTCTCTAGTTAAACAGCTAGCTTACTATAACCTCCTTAACTGAAGTGATAAAAGATTCTGATTTCACAGTATAAAACTGTGAAGGTCTAAAATTAATAGGAGTTTGTGATAACCACAAGCTTTCATTTTTAGAGGAGAAAGTATCAGCATCAGTCTGGCTGGAGGGTTAGGATATCATCAGACCACATCCATTTTTCTTCCTTCCCAAATCCTCCTTTCTATGCTAAACATTATCACTGCCTCTTAATCCCAGAACATGTTATATTATAATTGCTTCAATGTTCTTATAGAATAAGAGGTCAAGCCGTTTTCCCTCTTCTCAGCAGGACGAAGGAAAAGCTTTCCAACCCCCTTTCCCTCTCCTCTAAAGCAAGATTCTTCTATGTTTGTTAGGGAAAAAAGAAGTCTCAAAAAAAGTCAAAGTAGCATCATTAACACTCAGAGGACAGACAGAGTATACCTTCTGATACAAAAGTATAGCATATCTCATGGTGTTTATATTGTGGGGCGGTGGGGAGATAATCTTGGCTTCTTGTTTGTACGCAAACTACTTTTTCCACATTCAACCTTTTGGATTAAACCTAGCTGAGTTACCAATCTTGAGTTCCACATCATCCATGGTCTCCTTTCCAGAAAAATATATTTTAGGTAGTCAAGAAAGAAGGGAAGAGAGAAACAGCTAGAAATGGGCAGGAAATTACAGGTGAAGGAACAAGCAAGTCAGGCACTAATAGGTTCCTAGATTGCATGGCTCTAGTAAGAAAAGATCTCTCCAAAGCATTTGGTTTCTGAAATACCAATAATGTAATCATATTAATGTATGCAAAATAAAAACAATTTATCCTGTTTCATCTAGAGAGCTCTCCACACTATTAGATTCTGGATATGGAAAAAAACTAGCCTTGGATATAGCCTTTTCATTATTCAAAATGCTTCCTTTCCTGGTCATCCTTTTAAGGTAGTTTGGAATTTTTATTTCTGGAATGCAGACTCAGCATGGTGTCAGAATTGATACTAACTTGCCCCAAACCCCTTAGTGAGTTTGTGGCTGCAGCAAGTTTTGGAGCGATGTTGGCTGGCATATGTAGCCAGGTAATATTATGGAGTGTAAAGGCAGGGGCAGAGAGGAGAGAGAGATGAGGGAAAGAGAATTGTCAGATGCCTGGATTGTCTTGGAATTTTTCCTTTGCTTATGACTGCTCCAAGGTTAGGTGGCTGGAAACTCTTGTTGGCAAAAGGAAGTAATCTTAAACAAGCTCAGCCAAAAGAGAGCTGGCTTTGGCTCTGAGGATCTTCTTTCAGACGGTGTCACAATGTCTCTGTCTGTCTGATTTAGAAGTTCAGACTACTGAACCATTAAGACTTCCTTGCACTGAATAATTACAGGATGTAATTATTTTTCATCAGATATAGTAAAGAATCATGAACAGCATGTGAAAGGGCAACACAGATACCTTTGTTCTGCAACCCTGCTGCTTTGTCTTTATGGCAGGTTTCTCACCAGACTTTTTTCATCGGAGTACTACATTTTAAAAGATATATGATTGTACCTAAAAAGCTATTCTGAAAACATCACCTTTAAAGAATGACTATGTGTGTCTTGGATTACGTTACCTTAAACATGGCTAGACTGCATTAATCATATATCTTACCCTGTACATATTAATACATACCCACTATCAGAATCTCCTTATTTCCTTCAGGCATATAAATAAAGGAAGAACATCAGTAGTGCCTAAAATAGCCTTCTTAAAGGAGGAGGAACATAGCTATAAGGTTTATAAGCTGTAAGTCTGCCTCACAGGCATTCTTAAAACATTTCTTAGTGACTTCAAGGTTAATACATTCTTTAAATGTTAATATATCAAACAGGTAGTCATAGATACACTTTCTAATGTATTTTAATCACTTACGGATTCCAGACTCTTGGGAAACTCTCGATTTCCTCTTGTGTATATTCATCTAATCTCTTGGGCACTCTGCGCGGTTGTTGAAGCTCCTCTACAAGATTCTTACGTATGTCTTCAGGGATAACCTGAAGAGGGAAACAAAAATCAAAATCAATATTCATTTTAATCTTCATTTGTATTACTTAATTTTTAAATGAAATGATATAGTTATGGCATGTGATGGCATCCGGGTTCCCAGAAAGGGTGTTCAACTCAATGACTTCTGAAAGTCCCTAGCTATTTGGGTCCTGCACCTCCAAGGGAGCTTTAAGTACGTCCCGATGCCTTCAGTTCATTTGTTCTTGTTGTTACACGTTTTCAAGTTGCCAACTTATGATGACCCTATGAATGGCTGTGAGAAAACTGGCCAAGACATGCAAGGATACAGTTGAAATTTACACAGAAGAAACAGTACTGCTGTTGACTTACATCATCAGCAAAGAGATGCAGCCTTTGCATCATGGTTCTCCTCAGAAGGTTTTTGGGAAGCATGCCATAAATAGCCAGCTTTACAATCTGAAAAAATTAATATACACAATATAAACAATATTGTCTGGTTTGAGACATAAGAAGCAGAGATTGCACTCGCACAGAAATAAATAGGAAAACTGGTATGGAAACAGTAAACAAGATGTATGTTTTTCTTGCAAGACAGAGGTATGTGTGTAGGAAAACTAAGGCAAAGCCAAGAATAATGTTAAGTATTAGTAGGGACTTGAGCATCTTGAAATGTATTTCTAGATCACAAACACAATATAGCCAAAGTATGAGAATAAACTGAGAATTTATGACAAGATAACACTACTTGCTACCCCTTTAAAAAAAGAATCTTTATTTCACCTTGTGCCATAGTAGAGGGATGGTCAGAAGGTAGCTATGTATAGGTTGTGGATTTGAGGTCTCAGTGACAATTATTCTCAGCATGGCCTTCGCTGAGCGATCATGAGGCTTGAAGTTGTTGTTTCAGCTAATATACTAACCCCACAGTGCTAACATTTTCTGGCCAGTTTGCCATACAATTATGCAAACCTCAGTGCGCTGGGTAGTCTATTTACCAACCTCAGAAGGATGGGAGGTTGAGTCAAGCTACCTGAATCTGCTGGGATCGAACTCAGGTTGTTTACAGAGGCTTGACTGCAGTACTGCAGTTCAGCCACTGTGCCACAGGGCTCTTTAAGAAGACCATATGGAGATTGTGGTTTAGACAAAGTTCCCAATTGAACTTTGAATCTGCAAGAGTCTGAGTGAAATCCTGTGCTTAGTATAGTATGTCACACTACAGCAGGCCCACAGAATCAGTAGGCATTTGGTAACTCCTTCATGAGTTCCATTAAGGATATTCTGTCCCGAATTGCAAACAATAGGCTGTGAAAACTGTCTTGTTAGGGTTCCAATGCTTCTTTAACTTTTTCCTCAGAGTTCACATGTCAGCAAGCTGCTTTGGATCAGTCCTAAGCGTGGGACGCAAACCTGACAAAATGTTTGCCCACTACTGCAAATGAACAGGATCACTTATGAGAACAGGAGTGTGAATAATTCCCTCCTGTTGATACCTAACTTATTTCACCATCCTCTAATGTATTAATATTAATATTGTTGTTTTATTCTATTTTAATATTGTTAGCTGCCCAAAGTAGACTTCGGTCTAAATAGGTGGGATATAAATTAAACAAACAAACAAACAAACAAACAAACAAACAAACAAACAAACTCATTCACTGGGCTCATGTTAATGTATTCAGAAGAACCACAGTCCAGAGCAAAAGATCTCAATATGCCAAAATATTCCTTTATTTAAGAAGTTGAAAGCCATATAGACTCTTCTCGAATGGATCTATTGCACAAAACAGCAAAACTGTGGCTTTTTTTAATTCTTTAGAGCAATGGCAGACCAAACATGCTTTATTTTAAGGAAGCTATACCAAAGATGAACTTCTTAAACATTCTGGCAATATAAAGTTGTAGAGCAGAGGTCCTCAACCCCTGGTCCGGAACCCGGGACCAGGCCGCGGACTCAGATCTCCTACACCCCCACGAGTGCACCGTGTGCATGCGCGTGAGTGAGCTCTGCCCCCCTGCAGGCACGCCACCCCCCCAACCGATCCATAGTTGGGAAAAGGTTGGGGACCACTGTTGTAGTGTTGAATGAAAAGAAGGAAAACTGTAAGGATAACAAAGATAATAATACATTTTTATCTGGAAACGTGAAAATCACTATAGGGCCATTACACTCTCCATGTACCTGTAGGTATGTAATTTAATTTCCTCTAAGTTATTTAAAATAAAAAAAATAATCTAAAATAACTTCCTTTGCAGTTAAAAAAAACATCAGTGTGGATTGCTGGAATACAATCAAAAAGTACCGTAATTGGAAAACCTTTCACACATGAAATTTCTCTCTCACACACACACACACCCACACCCACACCCACCAGAAATTTAGAAGATGGGGGGGTAATACAATTGACCGGCAAGTGAAAGTCATGAAAACAGGAGTATTCTTTAGTTACATGGAACTTTAATACAGACTTCCTCACATGAAATAGATCTTATTATGCTTTAATTGCCCACCTCTCCCTTCCCCCCTCTTAATAAAAGGGAGACTTTGCTTAAATTACTTTGCAGTAAATGAGAATACTGTTATAGGTTAATCAGCAAAACGAGATTATGCAGAAGAACTCATGGTGGGTACAATGTTCTATTCTATTTTGCCAGGTCCTTTTGTAACCCTGTCCTACATGTGCTAACTCCAAAGGGAGTTAACACAAATTTCAACAGAGATTTCCAGAGGGGTGGCTGTGTTTGTGTTGGAGCAAGACAGATTTGTGGAACGTTGAAGACTAACAAGTTTTATTTTGCACAGGTTTTCATGGCCTGCAGCCCACATCTTCAGATGCATCCAGTTGTGACTTACTTTAGCCCAGCAAGTGGCACCTAGAATATTTCCATATGAATAAGTGGAACTTATGAAGGAGTTACCAAAAGCCCACTGCTCCTATGGGCCTACTCTAGTGTGACTTATTATACTAAGCATAGGATTTCACTCAGACTCTTGCAGACTCAAAGCTCAGTTGGGAACTTCGCCTAAATAAAGCCCCAATCTCCATACGTTCTTCCCTTTGTGCTGGGAAAGCACTTGTGGGACAGCCGGAATATAAAAAAAATTGGTGCAAACTGAGGGAAACATATTGCGTTAGACAAGTATAGACAAGGTGAAGGAAAACAGAAATAATGTTTTGAAATGTCTTGTAGCAATATAGGAACCATGCAAAGAAGAAGGAGAGGAATGAGGGAGGACCGGACTAGTTTTACATTTGTAAAAATTATGCTGTTGTAATTAAATTTACTTGTATGCTAAACTTGATAGACCTTGGTTCCAGCTGCCATATTTCTAGATTTCCACAGACCCTTTTGATTCCTTGAGTATAACATTACACAATCATGTTTTTAAGAAAGCAAATAAAACTGTAACATGACAAAAAGACATTTATTATCTTTTGTGTACTCAATATATTCAGGCAAGCAGTGTTTATGGAAAAGAATGACGAGTGGGAGTGAAATATGTCAATGCAATATATTCATTACCAAGTGCATAGCCATTTGAATCAATACTTAGTATTTTCCATATAACTGTCTTTTCCAAGGCAAATCTTCTGAGATAACACAGCTGACTACGGCTCAACTCCTTTTACATCACAGTTTCTCTGTCTCTCTCTGCATAAACTCTTTATGTTTCTGTTTCTCTAATTTACTCCTATCCACAGACCTTGCAGCTGATCTTGGTCCGTGTTTTCTACTTTTTGGCTCCACTTTTCCTCTATTAAATCTGGAATTCCAAACAAATATAGATGTAGTATTTGTTGGGAGTTCTAGATTTCTTCTCAATCATATTTTTCAATTATGCGTTTAGGTCCAATTCTTGATGCCAGTCTTTTAGGACAAACTAGGGATCACGAGGCCATTCTCACTCACTCCCCCCCCCCGCCCCACACAACTGGTCTTCCATTCTGATGAGATGGTTTAATGTGGGAACTATACTGGATCATCTTGTGGCAAGTAGTTTCAGAGTATCCATAGGTTTTCAATAGGCAAGTGTGAATGGTGGCAAATGTCATTTGGCAAATAAAATTGTCATCTGGTAACATTATAACCAATAATTCTGCTTTGCTTTCAGTGCACACCCAGGGTGATTTATTAGAAACAGAGGGAGGGGAGCACTGAAGGACTTTCTCGATTCTGTAAGTACCCTCTGTCACAAAATATAAAATATCTGCTCTTTAAAAGAGGCCAAGGAACGTAGCTTCTAATGAGCAGGTGTTTTGTGCTTTGGGGCAAAGGCTAATCTGAATCCAAATCCCTCACAACCAAGGGGTGTTAAGAAATTGCCCTTACACTGGCTTAACTTTGTGCAAGCACTGTGGCTCTAGTCATGAGCTGGAGAAAGTCTGGATCTGGTACAACCTGGCTGTCCCCATACTCTGCCTTTTCTCCCCCCACCTTTTTGGGGTTCTTTCTGCCAGGAGATCTTCACTGGCTGAAAAGCAGATCAGCTCACACAACCAACTGCCCTGTCTCCGAGGTCTTTGGGTAGAAAAGGGTTCAACCAGGAAAACAGAAGAGTATTGTGCCCAATTCTAACCCTTCACTCAGTGCCTTTTTGAATCAGGACTGCACTACCTGATGCATTTGAATTAGGACTTCACTTAGTGCTTGGGAGTAAATTCCACTGAACAAAGTGGCACTTACTCTTGAGTAAAGCTGCAAAGCATTGCTCTAGATGGCTATGATTTACCTCATGGGTCATTTCATTAATCCTTCAAACCACCCATTCTCAATGGGCGCCATATGGCCACCAGCAGGACCCTGGCACGTTTGAAGGGGGCCACAGACTGGAAACAATTCTTCACATGCCACCTTATAAGGTTTGTTAACAAACTTATACAATCCTGATTTGGCTTATACTTCGTTCATATTTATAGTTGTGGCCAAAAAAAAAAAAAAAGGTTGAGAATGGCTATGAAACACTGCAGAGGTACTGATATAGTACAAATGTGTCTGTTTAGTTGCATTTATATAGAACAGCAACATGTTATGCTTAAGATGCTTCTAAGTTGTGACCAAAATACAAGTTTCCTGCAGTAAACCGAACTATTCCAATATGCAGTGTTTCACTATCAAATATGTCTTTGCTAGTCACAGTATTTTTGACACTTTTCTTCACTCTTATGGAACTTGGCTTATCTATCTGGAGTGAAAATTGTTCAGTGTTTAAATCTGAGGCATATTGGGTTATGCTGCCCTCCAGTGGTCAAAAGTGTAACTGAAAAATAAAAAATAAAAATTTAATGGATCCTATTTAATAAAAGAAAATCTGGATGCAGAGCCAGATGTTGGGAGTTCAGCTCCTCATTGTGCCTCCGTAGTCACAGGCAAGCTGCACAGTCCCACAATGCCCCAGAAGAAGGGAATGCACTTCTGTGCGTTCTCTACCTCGAAAACCTTGAAAAGGTTTGCCATCGTCAGAACTGATTGGATGGCACACACATACATTTAATAATATAAGAGAAATCTTAAATAGGATCTGTTAGCACTGGCTATTTTTGCAAGATATTTCTGCACTTTAAATATAGAGTAACTTTAAACAGCAGCACACAATATGAAACCATTAGTATCACAGAATCACTTGCAGATTTAGTTCTGGAGCAGATAAAAGTCAGGGATTACAAAGAAATGTACTGGACAGTTCAAGACTTAAATTAGATTTTTAGTTACATTCATAGCGTTGCTTGTGACTACTATAATATCACATAATCTGAATACCAATTTCTGATACCAATAAAGTTGTGTATTCTTTAAAATGTTCTAAAGTTGGAAAAAAGTCAATTCATCTAAACACTGTACAAAAGATCCTACTATATAGAGAGTAAACAGTAATCTAATTTAGTAGTATAGTTTAATGGTCAGATATGCACAATTGTTTAGGGGATACATGAACTAATATAAATGTGACACGTAATTTAAATCAATGCATCAACCCAGAGATCACTGCACAAAAAGACCAGCTAATGAGACAAGCTAACGACACCCATCAATCACAGTGACAGATACTCTCTCCCTCTCCCCCTCTCTCATCACAAAAAAACATGCTGATCACCCTATCTCCTGAAAAAAGACAAAAGCCATTCCCCCAGCTATAAATACTATCCAACAAACACCAACAGAGTATGGACAGAGTTCCTACTCCAGTCCTCTGAAGATGCCGGCAACAGAACATGGCCAAAGAGCCCGAAAAACCCACAACAACCATCAAACTAGAGATTCCCTCCATTTTTACAAGCATGCCATAAATGAAATACAAAGCTTGACTTAGCCAGTACTAACAGCAGGGTACATACTGCACATATGAAGCTTGGCACATCATTATGCCATAAATGAAATACAAAGCTTGACTTGCTTTACTTCAGGGTACATATTGCACATATGAAGCTTGGCAGATCATGGCATGATTGTATATTTAGTTTACTAAGCCAGGAAGCAGTACAGCAGGGAAGAGAGAGACGGGAATGCACGCTTGACTTCATGCCAGAACAAGACCTGGGAAACTGTTCCTCCTGTCTGAGTCTGCCATTAGCAGAAGCAATGTAAATCCTTCATACTACTTCTCTATGTGTGCCAGAAGATGTCAACTGCAAACAACCGTGGCTAATCTAAGCCATAATTTGTGAAGACCTCAGTAAGAGAGAGTCAGGGACAAAGGAGAAACAAGTGAGCCATACCCATAATGGTTCAAGAATAATTCTGCTGAAGAAGAGAAGAGGCTTGATAGCCCCATGGAAGCTGTATGAGCATAAAGTACAGCATGGCATAAGCCACAGAGACTAGTGTAGGACATGGGATAGTAAGAGTAACTCTTGCTTTAGCATATCAGGGGAACAAAAAAGGCTGCAAGAGGGAGATCAGAAAGTATAGAGGGATAAGGTAAAGGTTCCCCTTGACAATTTTTGTCCAGTCGTGTTTGACTCTAACGGGCGGTGCTCATCCTCGTTTCCAAGCTGTAAAGCCAGTGTTTTGTCCATAGACAGTTTCCATGGTCACGTGGCCAGCGCAACTAGACATGGAACACTGTTACCTTCCCACTGAGGTGGTCCCTATTTATCTACTCTCATTTGCATGCTTTAGAACTGCTCGGGTGGCGGGAGCTAGGACAAGCGACGGGAGCTCACTCCGTCATGTGGATTCTATCTTACAGCTGAAGATCTACAGACCTTACAGCACAGAGGCTTCTGCGGTTTAACCGCAGTGCCACCACGTCCCGTGGTGGGATAGGGAACTGTAAAAAAAGAAGACTTTTTTTAAAAAAAGGAAGCTGGAAGAAAACATGGCCTGGCATTAGTACAAAAAGGACTGATGTAACTACAGTCAGAGTTAAAAGGATAGCATTCTTATTTGACTAAAGAAAAAATATATAGAGATCAAGAAGTAGCAAATGCAATATGGAGACAGCACAGGTGACTGGATGCTGTTTGTGAAATAATTATGTAGCTACTTAATATGACCAGAGAGAGAGAACTGCAAAACAATATGAATGCTTCTTTATTGTCTATGTCCCGCAGAGACAACATGCTACTGTCATTCACAGCTCATGCAACCATACTGTCAATGTGTGAGCTGGTCCCCAGGCTCGATGAGGGGAACAAATAATCAAGGAATAATAAGAGACAATTCCAAGGCTGGGTGCCTGTGAAGTGACAGCATGCTATCTGTAATATGCTCTCAGTTAAGAAATATGTTGATTCACCCAGAAGTCATTTATAGATATATAATAAAGAGAGAAGTCAGAGAAGAATGTCCACTTACTGCTGTTGGGTCTTTAAGATGCAACTGCTTTGCTGTTACCTGTTTGAAGCCACCAGGGTATCTGCAAAGCAAAGCGAGAAAAACAAGGAAATTTAAAAATGCTTGTATAATTCAGTGCTTACAAAAAGTTTATCAACTAGAAAAGAAAAACATGCATGCATGGTAATGTAAACATTATTAAATGGATTGGTTTAAATTAGAGACTAAAAAAAACAGAAGAGGGATTTCTTATACTGTACTGAACTTTTTCTTATTCTAAAAAACCACTACAATTAGTCACCACTTTTCTGAGGTCAGTATGAGATTGTCTCAAAACTCAGCACAGTATAAGACCACACTGACCCTTCTTTTTGAACTTGAGGAAAGATCATCATGTGTTACCTATCTTCAGAGCAGGCAGAAATAGTGTGAGAGATTCACCACTCATCCCAGTTCCTAAGCCCAGCAACACATTAGACACGCTAGTCTGTGCACAGAAAGTTGGAGAGGGGAAGGGAGTTTACCATGAATTATGACCAACTAACAGCTAAACCTAAACCTAAATTAAAAATAAAACCTGTGATTTCTTGCCAATCAGCAATAATTTGGAGGAAGTCAAATAGGCTCAGAACCTTCACAAATGGGATCTGAAATCTCTGGTACTGTATATAGTGTGTTTAGCCCAAATAAGAAGTAACAGATCTTGTATGTAAGAAATAATAGATCTTGCCAGAAACTGGAGAAATTTTAATGGTTATCTAACAAACATTTCAAACGGATGTGGTGGCGCTGCAGGTTAAACCGCAAAGCCTCTGTGCTGCGAGGTCAGAAGACCAGCAGTCGTAAGATCGAATCCACGCAACAGAGTGAGCTCCCGTCACTTGTACCAGCTCCTGCCAACCTAGCAGTTCGAAAGCACGTAAAAATGCGAGTAGATATATAGGAACCACCTCGGTGGGATGGTAACAGTGTTTCATGTCTAATTGCGCTGGCCACTTGACCACGGAAACTGTCTACAGACAAAACACTGGCTTTACAGCTTGGAAACAGGGATGAGCACTGCGCCCTAGAGTCGAACACGACTGTACTAAATGTCAAGGGGAACCTTTAATTACTAACAAACATTTCCTAAACAGACACAAAACTCTATGCTACAATACGTTATATTTTAAAGAGTTTTTAGCTACTTATGAGCATTTTAAATAACTGATGATTTCGCATGTGCTTTATCTTTTTAAAAACATTTGTCATTTCAAGACAGTAAATGCATAATTCTGCTATTTACTTTTCAGCCTAGCAGCACAATTCTAGTTGATTTCTAAACTCTATGCAGATCAACAATTGTAGTGTTGCACTTAAACAGAAACAATATCACTTTTACGGATTCAAGTATATATTCCTAAACAGAAAGGTTCCTATAACAGAGAGGAAGACAAAAGCCCAACTTAACTAGTTTGTTATTATTTAACAAACCAGTTAATGAGCTGTTACACTAGGGACACAACCTATTTCCCCAGTTGTCTTTGTCACTTCCTCACTGTCCTCAGGGGTGAAGTATATAAACCTGTATCATATGCTGTCAAATCAATCTTGACTTACAGCGACCCTTTAGATATGGTTTACCAGCTGCTGCTTCTGGGGATGCTCTAGGATTGTGCAGTGTGCTCAAGATTGCACAAACTGTTCCTTCACCAGACAGGGATGGTGGGGGATCAAATTTCCAGCTCCTGCCTTTGCAACCAGGTGCTCCAACCCTCCAGGCTATCTAGAATCTTAGCACTATTTGAACATTTACTCGCATCCTTCATCTAAAACTCTCAGGCAGAATATAATCAATATAGTAACTTTAAAACAATCTAAAACAATTTAAACCATTTAAAACAAGTTTCAACAATTCAACAGGTGAAAAATAAAACCAAAAGCCAAATCATGATCTCACCAAAAACATACTGGTGTACATCTAGATTTTAAGAGTACCTGTACTGAAATTAAGCCAATGTTTGTACCAATCTAAACTCCAAAGAGAAAGCATTCTATTATTGGGGTGCTACAACTGGGAAAAGCCCTCCTTTGGCCTTCCACATCATTTATGTATGAAATCATGGGACACAGATGTGATTCCTGCCTTGGTAAACCTGAATGATCAGGAACACATACAGAGAGAAGCACTCTGTCAAATATTCACATCCCAAGCAATTTAGCGCATCACCAATGCTGAGTGCAGACCAGTGACATACTGAAATGAAACCAATCTGAAAAACCAACTGCAATAGACACACATATGTTGTGACAACAGTACTGATGTATTCAGTATTTTTAATCTTAAGATTATGTAATGCTTACCCAGTATGTGATGCATATGTCTTTTGCTCCCATTTGTTACCAGAAAAGGCAATATGTCTTGTGTTGATTATGACAACATGATCTCCAAGATCACCTAATAATAAAAGAGTCTATTACTGAGATTAGGAATAACCAACTTCTAATACAGGACAGTGAGTGTAAGGAATTCAGCAGGAATTACTTCAAAAGCACGTATTGAAACAATTGCTTCTAATGTCCACCATTACTGATAAAATGGCTTAAAAGCAAAGTCTCCACTATTAGTAGATGGGTTGCATGCCTCAGCAACATACAGAGCTAAACAACATGCAATCTTTCAAGGCTGTTGGACTGAGCTTCCATCAAACTTAGTCAGCCCATCAAATGGCCAGTGATAATGCCACCATGTTTTTGTCTCTTTACTTTTTATTTCAATTTTGCTTTTATCTATAATGCTTGCAAGACTAATACTTGCACGGCTACCCCTTCTATAAGAGATAATGAAGAATGCAATCCAAGAATATCTGGAGGACCACAAGTTGCCTACTTTCAATATAAAAGCCTGAAGTTAGAATTGAAGTGCTTTGTGTTTGGTACAGAAAGGAAAAAGTTTTGAATTTGTTTTAAATTTAATGTCAGCATTATTACACTGTATCCATAAACAACATTAGGGTGTTGGTCACATCAGGATTTATGGATAGTGGATTGGTGGCTGGTATTCTTACCCTGAATGCTATATTGAATCAGCCTTTACCATCTAAATGCAAATTCATCCCATCCCTACTTTAAAATCAAGGGTGGTCAAATGATCACATTTGCTTGCGGACCATCTTTCGGCCAGGTATGTATGTGAGCTGCAGCTGAAGCCAGGGGTGGATGGAGCCAGAACCAAAAATAAAGAAGCCCACCGCTCTCCCCTCATTGCACTCCTTTCCCTCTTCAACTTGTGCGGGAAAGCAAAGAAAGTTCTTGCAGAAGCTTGAATTGATCACTTACTGAAGGCTTTTCATATGAAGCCAAGAATCCTGTGCCAGCAGGACAAAGGCCCTATATAGCCTTATGAACACAAGCTGCCTACCCCTGCTTTGCACTGTGAAAATAAGCCAGCTCTGCTATAGGCAAATTGTATCCGTCCATGAGAAAACTCACTCAGCGCATGGAACACAGGTTTGTGTCTCCCTTCGAGTCTGATGGCAGCCACTGCTGCAATTTTGCCAGGTGGCTGCATCTTCGCATCTAGAAGAAACCATGTTCTGGCGAATGTGGCCCATTGCTAGAAAGCAACAACACAAAGGCAATTTAATGTATTGAAATACAGTACATGCGCTTAATGTCGTGAGCCACCCCCATCACCCCTGACCAAACATCTTGGACATTCTGAATAGAGCTTCATATAGGAATACCCCTGCACAGGTGACCTTAACGAGGGTCCAGCCTCATGGGGCCGGACGGTCCACTCACCGATCCGCCATGGACGCAATTCTACGAATGGCGCCGCAGCGCGCAATCCGCTCGCAACTGTTTGACCTTGCAGCGAAGCTGGTCCTCCTGTTACGAATGGCGCCGCAGCGCGCAATCCGCTTGCAACTGTTCGACCTTGCAGCGAGGCTGGTCCTCCTGTCAGGAGTGGTGAGCGGATCGTGCGCTGCAGTGCCATTAGCAGAATCCCGCCGTTTGCAGCGGATCGGTGAGTGGACATCCGGCCCCATGAGGCTGGACTCTCACGTGCGCTGCAGTGCCATTAGCAGAATCCCACCGTCTGCAGCGGATCAGTGAGTGGACCATCCAGCCCCATGAGGCTGGACCCTCGTTAACACCACCCGTGCGGGGATATTCGTATACAAATATCCCTATCTCTAATTGTGAACGGTGATGTCTGCGAATCTGCACTGATTGTTACAAGACGAAATTCACCTTCAACCTGCCTGAAAATAAACCTTTGCTGCTGGTAAGAGACAGACAGCTATCCTGTCAGAATTAAAAGTAGGTGATCCAAGACACTTTAAATTAATCAGAATAATCCCTATCTTGCAAGACCTGCCAAATCTTTGCAAACAAAAGCTCAAACCTAGGCTTATTTTAACACCACCTGGAGAAAGTTCTCTCTTTAGTACAGTTATGTGAAAGACAACAGGACTGCCTGCTCCTAATGGGCTGCCAGGCCACAATCCTAAGTAGAGAGGGTTACTTGGGAGCAAGGCCAACTGAAGCAAATGGGAGCAAACATGCCTACTTATCAAAAGGTCAGATGTCACTTAAAAAGGCGTTGCAACATCGTATTTTTCCACATTTTTAAACATTCCCACAACCTACTTTTTAAGACGTTTCAGCTAAAAGAAAAACGCAGTCACATGCAAGTTTTTCCCCAGAAGCAAGAACTTATTTCCACCCTGGGCAGCGTTAAAAATAAAAAGACTGCAACCTTCCCTCCCCAACCCACCCCATCTTCTTTTCCATGCTTAAGTAGTCCGAGAATACGAATTCAATCCGGAAAAAGTAACGATCCCGACTCTTTATAGGCATGTTTATCGGGACTCATTGCGGTTTTCTCCCCGTCAGGAAAGCGGCTTGGAAGGCATGGCTTCTCACGGTGGCTGGCGGGAAAACTGCCGCTGAGGTAAAAAAAAATGAGGTATTTAAAAAAAGGAGGAATCTGAGGAGAAAGAGCTGCTCTCACCTGGGCGGCCCTGGAGTAGCTGGCCATGACGCTCCTCGGGGCCGCAAGCGGAAGGAGGACGGCCCGAGAAGGCAGCGCCGGGGCGGCGGCGGCTCCTCCTCCTTTCCCGGGAAGCGGAAAGAGCCAGGCGGGCGAGGCCTAGTAGGCCGCGCGGGAAATTCGAACCGCGGAGACCGGGCCGGCCAGCGAGCAAGCGGGCGGCTGGTCTTGGGCCATGGACCGGTACCTTCTCTTCATGAGCTGGCGGGGACGGCGAGGCGAGGCGGGATCCGGAGGCGTCCCAGGTGCGATTTCGAAAAAAAGGGGGAAGGAGTAAAAGGAGCGAAGGGCAAACTGTCTCTTTTAGTCATAGGTGCCCGTCCATTTCTGGCCGCGGGGACTATAGGCAGGTTTTGATCATCATTATCATCATCATCATTGGTGGGACGTGGTGGACAAGACTGGACTAAATGTCAAGGCAACCTTTACCTTTTTATCATCATTCAAAAACACCAGGCACAGTCAGTCAAAATTATTTAAAAACATTGATTGGTATTCCATAACAGATACAAGCTTTAACAAAAACAAACAAACCTAAGTGTCTGTTAAATATCGGCGCGATATGTATGCTGGTTTTAGTATTGCCGTTTTTTTTTCTTAGTTCTGATAGTGTTATTTCTGAGATTTGCAACTGCTTATAGTACTGTGTGAAATGTCTTGATATTGTTCCCAAAGCCCCACGGGGAACGCTGAAGTGCGTTTCATCCACAGATGAGATCTCTGTACTTTGATGATGATGATTTAAATAATACAGTATTATCATTTCAGGGGTGGAAGGGACCCTATGGACCATCCAGCCCAGACCCTGTTAAGGAGGCGCAGTGGGGAATCGAACTCCCAACCTCTGGCTCTGCAGCCAGAAACCTAAACTACGGAACTATCCTGCTTGTTGGACTACCATCCCCATAATCTCTTACCATGGGCCCTGCTGGATGGGGCTTCTGGGAAATGAAGTCCAAAATATTTGGCGGGCTAAAAGGTTTCCCCGGAGTTGTTTTAGTCCAGCATCTCCCACTGTTCAGTGGCTAATCACAACCTCACAAGCACAGCATAAAAGCAACCCAAACAAAACACAACTTCTCTTGAGAGATTTTGAATGACACAAATTAAGGAGGTGAGCTTCCATCGGTGACTTTTTTTTTTTTTACCCCCTTGGCTTTCTACATCTACTAGACGATTTTGCTTGTTTTTTGTTTGCTTTCACTACCAAGTGACAAACAGGAGGGTGCAGGGGCTGCATCATGGAGGCAAAGGCTTGAAAAGGTTTTCCTCCAAGGACCATTCTCAGAATCCCATCTGGTGAAGCCGTAGTGCAAAACAACAACAACAACAACAACAATAATAATAATCTTTCAAAGCTATCGATTTATGAACTGGATGCTTTGGAGCAAATGCTCTGCTGCCCAGTATAACACCACCCCTAATCCTGCCATAGCACAGTGGCTTAGGTCTCTGGCTACACAGCCAGAGTTTGAGGGATCAGTTCCCTACTGTGCCTTCTTCATCGGCTGGACTCGATGGTCCATAAGGTCCCTTCCAGCTCTGCAGTTCTAAGATTATTATTAGATTTGAAGATTATTATTTAGGCTTTCCATTCATTAATTCACTACTAGATTTTCCCTAACCCTTCTCAGCAGCCTCATTAGTTTAGGGGAAGACACCATCTTGTTGTTAACTGAAAAGTAATTGGAACTTCTTAGCAGTGTCCTGCAAATCACCTAGAGATGCAGGTAGCTTCTTGCCCTTGTGAGGAAGAGCTCACAAATTTTTTTTGGGGGGGGGATGGTGTCCCTCCCTTGTTTGGATCACGAGCCATTGCTTGCACGAGGTCTTCTGGGAGGTCCTTCTCTCAGTTTCATCACTTTCCCAAACTTGTTTGGAGAGGACAGGGGAGAGAGCCTTCTTGGTGGCTGCTCCCAGGCTTTATAATGCACTGCCCAGAGAAGCCAGGTTGACCCTTTTCCTCTTGTCCTTTCACCAGACAAAGACTTTCCTCTTTAGGCAGGCTTTAAAGCAATAGGAGGTGGTGGTCTAGGCTAGGGGATGCTCTGTTTATGAAATGTAGATATTTTAAAGTGTTTTAACATGGTTTTTAAATCTTGACTAATGTTTAATCATATTTAATACAGTTTTTGTGGAGTACAGTGGTGCTTCGCATAACGAGCACTCCGTTTAACGATGAATCCGCATAGTGATGCAGATTTTGCGATCGCAAAAGCACGGTTTCCTTGTTTACCGAGGCGGCGAAAATGGCGGCCGTATGGAGGATTTCCGTTTAGCGTTGAGTTTATCCCCCATAGGAATGCATTGAAGGGGTTTCAATGCGTTCCTATGGGTTTTTTTGCCCCAGATAGCGACGTTTCCGGATAGCGACGATTTATCCGGAACGGATTATCGTCGCTATGCGGGGCAACACTATTTCAAACTTGTTTGTACACTATATACATAATACCAAAATACCCAATGCATTCTGGAAGTGGATGGAGTTTTCCTGGTTTGGAATATGAGGAGCTGAAGTCCATTTGACAATATTGCTGCTCCTGAAGGCTTCCAGGAACAGGAAATGCTATTTTTGTGCAGGTGTTTTTTCTTTTCTTGGTGGGGGCATAAAAATGGCTTTGTGGAGTACATAAAGCCCGTGGACTGGAGACTACACTGGATTAGAATGAGTTCATCACTGGCCACTATGGCGTTCATGGTGTTGTAGATTTAAACTAAGACTTACGTTTGAGCTCATAATTCAGTGCATGTAAACTAGGACTTGAATTTTGCAGATTTGACGGCGGAAAGTATTTATAAGTTGCTGGAAGCAAACTGCACTGCCTGTCTAAACACAAAACATCATGACTTTCCAGGTATGTGAAGCATATATCTTAACATATTGCACTGCTAAAACATTGGAGTATATGCAGTGGTGCCTCTGTGACATTTTGGGGTTAGTCGCCCAATATTTTGGACCACAAGCCTGGAGATGATAGAGACAGGTATTCCCCCATCCCTGTCCTACTTGCGCTATATCAGTTTGGGTTCAGGTTTGAATCTGGGACAGAAACTGATGTGGTTGTTTTGTGAGATATCTGTGCCAGGAAAGGAGTCAGCAGTTGTATGGTCTGATGGGTTTTTTCGACCTTTTGGTGCCTCTGTGACATTTTGGGGTTAGTCACCCAATATTTTGGACCACAACCCTGGAAATGATAGAGATAGGTATTCCCCCATCCCTGTCCTACTTGTGCTACATCAGTTTGGGTTCAGATTTGAATGTGGGACAGAAACTGATGTGATTGTTCTGTGAGATTATCTGTGCCAGGAAAGGAATCAGCAGTTGTATGTATGGTCTGATGGGTTTTTTGGACCTTCTAGTGGTATTCAGTGTCTTTGATCATATATCTTTATGGATAGTCTGTCTAAGTTTGGAAGGGGGACACTTTGTCAGTGGTTCCAGTTAGGATTCCAATCCTAATTTGGTGTCCAGTTCCAGAAAGTGGTACTGGGGAAAATTTTTCTTCCCTTCCCTGTAGCAGTTATGCAATTGTGTTCTACCTCTCCTTTCCATCCAAGACAGGTAAGGAAGATCTGAAACTCTTCTTTCCTCTAAGAGACATGAAACAAATCGTTATACTTGGGGACAGATAATAGAGTAGATAAGACACAAGAAATTTGGTTCTGGCAAATTGGTGGTATTTGTTGCAGTTGTTTTGTCTGTTTAGTTAAGTGGGGTTCAGTTTGGTTAGTGACACTATCACTAATAGATCAGGTCCACAGTTTCGGATGTTCTGAGATCCATCCTTGTTATTCGAGGTAAAGGTGGTCTCAGTGACTCAAAGTCACTGCAACCCAACCTGGAATTTCATACACTGGCAACCTCTTGTGTAGTTTACTGCACCATGCTTTGCCTGGTGCTGCTTTCTAAAACAGTACTGAAATTTATTTATTTTTGTGTGTGTGCTGTTATTGATACTTTTGTATCAGCTTTAAATAAAAGTGGTTTAGGGCCTTCTATTTTGTTCTTGAGTTCTTGTACATTATTTTAGTTTTTGGAGTGTTGAGCTTAATAGTTGCAATCTATTAAGCATCTTTGAAGAGGAAAGTGAAGGCTGTGTGTGATTTTTTTTCTTTTGTTCTGTTGCAGTTTAATATTGTTTCTCCTTTCAGCTTGTTCACTTCTTGGAATTCCAGATGTGAAGGAATGGTATTTTGCAATTCAGTCAATATGTGGATTTTCTCAGGTGAGTTGGTAAAGTCACACTATTGTCTAAAATGTTAAAATGTCTATGTCACCCTCATGGAATTTTCTTTTAATTTAATAGTTCTGTAGTTCTGACTGGGAGAATGTCCAATTTGATCTACAAACAGACCAAAGCAAAAATTCTATTCAAAGAGAAATTGAAGAATGCCTTGGCGATGTCCAAAGTTTAGAGGAAGATAATAATAGCCGGGAATCCCTATCACTCATTGAGTAAGTTAATTCTGTTTTTATATTAATGTTTGAAAAAATACCTGTAGTACAGGCCTCTTAATGTCTAAATAAAAATCCCTGAAATCAAATACACATTTTGTTGTTGACTTTTATTCCCTATTAGTCCTTAGATAGTTAGTTTTATGCCATCAAGTTGGAACCAACTAATAGCAACTCTATTAATTATTTCCAGGTAAGTGAGATATTTATGGAGTGGTTTTACCTGTTCCACTGCTCCAGAGAGTTTCCATGTAGAAGTGGGGATTCAAACCCTGATCTCCAGCCTCCTAGTCCATCACTCTATCTACTACATCATACTGGGTATTTACAGTCCCTAGATAGAACCAAAAATAAAAAATAAATAAAAGGAACTCTGCTATGTCTTTGACCTTGGACAGAATCTTAGGCAAGGATACACATTTTGGGAACTAGTCATTTCTCTACAGTACAGAAATGGGCCTAGGATGCTTACCAGAAGAGGATAAGATGTGACAATTTGGATTCTTGAGAAAAGAGAATTGGGTGTGGTTGAGACAGAAAAGATCTCAGCTCTGAGATTAGTTGAAGAAGATGCTCAGCTTGACTAGAAGCACTGGTAGTGATGGGAGTCTAAGAGTCATTGGTTGAAATCCTGATGCTCAGAACAGTAAGTCACAATTAAAATTGCCCTATTGCATCATTGGGGATTTGGTCATTCATTTTCTCCACAAGTCCGATTGATTTAATGGGTCTTCTTTAGTGGCAACTTACCGTGGTAAACAACAGAATTTCAGCCACTGTATTCAAAATGCATTCCCTGTCTGAAACTTTTAGTCGAATTGCAGTTGCCAGATATTATTAAAGACCATGGTGGACTACTCAAGTAGACCGTGTGTCTAATTTGTGTTCATTTATAATTTGCCTTTCAGTGGAGAACAATGAGACAATAAGACACTAGTTTTGTTACAGAATTATGGCATAAAGAAATTCAGAATACAGTGGTCATTTTGAGAATAGTGTATAGCTGGCTTCTTAGAATGTAAGAAATTCAGAATACAGTGGTCATTTTGAGAATATAGCTGGCTTCTTAGAATGCCAGCTTATAGGATATGTGTTTACTGCATTGGTAGGCTGCTCAATAGCAGTGTTCTCTAAGTGGGTTATGATATTAATAGAACATATATTATGAAACAGTTATATACAAATACCTGTTCTATATATGACATGTACAAAACTAGAAACGTCTGGTAAAGGCATTGATTAGGTTAATGTTGGACTTAATGCTTTTATTTTGATTTCAGGCCTAAACTGCATGTAAACTGTATATGATAAATGCTAGTAATTTTAAGATTAAACTATCAGTGGTAGCACAAGGGGGAGCCAGAGTTTCTGAAATGTGGAACAGAAATTAATTTCTCTGTTTATGCAGCAATTCTAAACATCATATTCTCAATGAGCCCCCATCACTCAGTGAAGCTTACTTCTGATTAAGCGTATATACTGTATACATTTGCACTGTTAGTAGCAAAACAATAATACTCAAAGTTTTTCAGATAATCCATTTTGAGATCACTGCTGCTTATAGCCCACGTTTTTGCCTGTTATTTTCATGAAATGTCTCTAACAAATGATTCCTGCAAGTCATAGCTTAGAAAATCAGAAATTAGATTTTAGAACTTTAACAGCAAGATGTACATGTGAATTCTGGTGTGATTTGTTCAAGACATCTATTCATGTCCATGAAGAATGTAGGTTCTTTTTCCTGTTCTCCGTATACCACTGTGATATCAGATTCCTTTGTGGCTGAGAACAAGGAATTCTATTGATAAATTAACATTTTCTCCTTACCGTTAACCTGTACTTAAATCAACTGTCTTGAATGCAAGTAGTTGAATTGCTTGTGAAAACTGAATTATTGTTCCCCTCGGCCCCAATCGCTACTGAATAAAATAGGTGCTATTGTGTTCTGATCCCAGTTCTGTTGTGGAAAATGTTTCTTATATTATGTCCTGTTGCAGAAGCTTGGGCATGAGTACAAGATAAAGTGGAGGGGACGGGAGGGGAGAGGGAGAAGTAAAAACCCTGTTCTGTGCTTCTTTGCTCTCTGAGGAAGTGGTAGCTGTTCTGCAAAAACATCCTCTCCTGCCATTCCCTTCCTTTTAGAGGGCAAGACCAGATGTAAATGCAATCTCATCATCATGAAACATTCATGATGGTTTTTTAGATACGTGCTGGAAGGAAAGCAGTCTGCGCTGCCAGAGATGGAAGAAAGGAGGGGGAGGCATGAGTGATTCAACATATATCAGCTGTTGATTTTGAGTTTTAAAAATAAAATCAGAATGTTTTGGTCAGACCAAGGACCGTATGGTTTCCTTCCAATGACTGGCTGACCAAGGGAATATTTTTTACAGGGAACATTTTGTTCTGTGCTTAACTTGTGTTTTTAATACTGTTTTTACCATGAGGTTTGATATGAAATTTGTTTGTTTTTAAATATTATAATAATTTATTATTTGGCTTTTTATTTTGTTCTTTTAATATTTTAAGCAACCTTGGCTCCTTCAGGAGAAAGGGGCTGTATAAATATTTTAAATAAATAAATATGGCCAGAAATTCTATTTGCATTGTTATTATCCAGATGCCTACTGGAAGGCTACAACAAAGACATGAGTCCAGTAGTATTCCGTTGCTAGTATTTCCTTGTGATTGATGTTCAAAGACACAATGCTTCTTGTTTGGAGAGGGGCAATATACAGTATGTCCATTGTGGCTGGTAACTATTGATAGCCTTATCCTCCTTTAAGTTGTCCATATTCCACTTAAAAGCCATCCCAAGTGGTCGCCCTCCCCATATTGTGCGTGAATTCCATGGTTCAGCTGTGTCCTGTTTCTCCCATCATTCAGTTTAATTGAATGACTCCTTATTTTAGTACTATGAGAATGGAAGAAAAACTTCCTTATCCACTCCCTTCATTCCATGCACAATTTTATATATCGATATAATGTTCAAGAAAAACTTCCTTATCCACTCCCTTCATACAGTACCATGCACAATTTTATATATCGACATAATATTCCCCTCCATTTTATTGTGCTATTCACTGGAATTTAGTAGCCAATGCTTGTCTGTAGAAGTGTCATTTGAAATACGTTCTTTATTTTCCAGTTTGAAAACTGATGAGCTGATATTTGAATAGTTCAATGCACTGAATATTTTAAATACTTTATTATTTAGAGATGATGGGTTTTTTTTTGTATTTTAGTCTCTATGAAGACGCTGCAGAAAATATCCATCTATTGGCAGATAAGCTTCCTGCTCCTGGTAATCTGAACATTTTGAAAATCAAAAGTTTTGTATAGCTCTACTGCATATTGTCTGTATTGTTCATTTATTGTTCTGTTTAGCACGTAATTCTACATTTCTAGAAAGGATGATACTGTCATCAATGTTGGATCCATTTTCTATATAACAACCCGTTTGGGGGCATATTAACAATAGACTTAAGCTTTTATGAACCATAACCAACTCCTTCAGATATAAGAATATTTCGAGCATTTCAAATACATTCCAATCTCTGGTCAAAATGGCAATGGATTTTTATCCAATTATTTGTTTTGGAAAAATTGAAGAATTACAAAATATTAAGCATCATAATAAAAACAACCAGTCAACTCCTTACCTCATTATGGCTTTCATAACAGATCTGCAAAAAGACTCTGAAAATTATTCTGTGTGTTGAGTGTAAGAATATGGTAAATATTTACAGATGGCTAAATATTTCCTATGTTATGTGTAATGTAATTGCTTCTGCAGGAAAAGCAATGATTGATATAATATTGCAGTCTTCAGAAAGAGATGCCCCCTGTTTAAAAGATTGTTTACCTGTCATTGGGGCCTTGAAACACTTGAGAGAGTGGCATGCAGCAAAAATCACAATTGTAGCAAAGGAAAGTAAAACGTAAGTGGTGATTTCTAAATCATTCAGCTAACAACTGATTGGAGGGGGGATTGTGTCGTTTCATGTACCATTTTTACATGTGGATTTATAGGGTGTCATAATTTTCCGTTCACTTTTAAAAAGCAAAATGCAAGTATGTGTCAATAAAGTAGCGGAGTTTTAAAGTTTTGTCAACTTTGCTAAACAGAGAGAATATTTACTTAGAATGTTGACTTTCCTACTGTTCTGTTTGCTTTCTTTTCAGATTAGATGTATACTTGAATTGTATAAATGAATTGCTACGGCTGTATTTTTTTAGTGATGCTGTAATGTTGCAGTGGGCTGTACAGACTATGGTGTCATGCCCTAACCAGTTTGTTTTGATTCGTTTCTTTTTTTGTCACTGAAGGATGGAGACCCTTGAGCTAGATACCTAAATGCTATGAAAGATTTTTGAGAGCCAAAAGTAAGAATGAGTAACTTTTTTCCAGCCCAGAGACCAAATTCCATCTTGAATGGGTCTCGGAATCCAATTTCTAGCAATAGAAAGGGTTAGACTGAGCTAAATGTATCTTAGCAAGTCATACCAATTCAGATATTTTCTCTAAAACGCATATAGAGCGCAGCCGAAGTATACTTGTCTACTCGGCAACAAAGTCAAGTTGATGAACTGCAAACCAGATCTTCATTTTATGTAACAGATTTCCAGGCATTTAAATTGCTTTATATGTCCTATTTCCAATTACTGATCAAAGATAGTGGAAAAAGCCAGTTGTGGTCTGGATGAATAACATCTAGAAACTGTCCATCCCTGTTGCAAAACCTGAATTTTGAGCAAAATTGATTTAAAAAGAGACACTTAGGTAATGTGTATCATGTCATGGTTTTTAGAATGATGTTTTATTTTAATTTATTTCATTGACTCAGATACTTTAAAACAAGAACACTAATATTGGTGTATATACATAATTAAACATAATTTGTATGTGTTATGTGTAATTTGGCCCTCTGATAAGAACATAAGTACTATATGTTTCTTTCTAAAACATTATACTAAAACCAGTGTAGGAGGTAGGCATCTAAATGAGGACAGTCTGGTTATATTTTAGTTTATTACTGTAATGATAATAATAATAACAACAATTATAATTTCATCTGCGGGGCTGTTTGTGTTTCAGTTTAAGATGTCTTTTGCAAAAATCTGGAAGCTAAATTGCATTTTGGCAGTGCAACAGTAGCCAATATAGTAAAAGTTATTAATGCATGTATCTTAAGATAGGTTTAAGAAGTATGAATGAAAACCGTTGTTTTAGCAAGCACCAAAATCTTAATTCTTTGTGAAAGCGAAAGCAATACAGAACTAATATTTCAAAATTTACAGGAAATTTGTAGTTAAATGTAATATTTTCTTATTGGATCTGAAAGCTGTGAAGTCTCTGAAACTTTATTCAGGTTTCCTTTTTCTTGAGGTAGTTGGCAAAAAATCGCGGACTATCTCTCTGCTGATGTTGTGGTGCCAGAAAACCTATCAAGTATCATTGATTCAAGAGAATTGTGGAGAGGAAAAATTCAGATATGGGAGCATAAGGTAATTTTGGGAGCATAAGGTTTTTAAAAATTCACTTACACCGTGGCATGTCCTCTATCAAAGAACTGAAAAATGTAATAGGAAGGAGGGTTCTGTACATAGAAAGGCTTTGTGCCCTATGGAACCATCACTGAATTTTGCAAATTAGAGAAATCAGAGTGCAATCATATGGGGAAATGGCACCCATTCAGAGGCAGCACCTTGGCTTCCTGGCACGGCCTCTGAGTGGGCAGACATTGTAGAAGGTGGGGCTGGAAACCACCGAATACCCGTTGAGCTGAAAAATGAACAGTGCCCATCTCTACACACAGTGTGCAGGAGATCACAAGCCAGCCTGACCCTGTTCCATGTTGAAACCAGACTGGAGTGACTGCTGTATGCACAATGGGACTACTTTAAGGGAATTTGCTCTCAATGAGGCAACCTTTTCCAGTACAATCTGATGCAGTCCCTCAGTACTCTCCAATCATTTAATTGTTTTCCATGTATAATTTACATTTTTAATTCTATCCATTTTCATATTGTGAGCTGCCTTGGGTCCCCTTACCAAGAGAAAGGCAGCCTATAAATAGTTCAAATAAATAAAAATATATAATTAGTCACACAGATTAGCACATGATGTCTGGTTGTGTACATAAAGCTTGGTTGGACGGAGTGACCCTTCAAGAAAATTCTGCACGTAGAGCATCTCCACTGCCAGAAGAGACAGTGAGGCAATTTTTACTCTACCATTTGCAACCCTTTGTATCTTACTGAATCAGCTGCAGATATCTGGGGCTCTCACCGGAGGTATACAGTGCATCTCAGGGCTGCAGAGAGGAGAGGAAATGGGTTAAAATCTCCTTTTCATAGGGATGAAATCTGATGTTCCATTTGCTGAGAAGAACTTAGAAAACAGCCTGCTATTCCTAGTGTGGATGAATATATCTTCTGTTTTTCTTGCTGTAGCAGATTTTGAGATGGCCTTAATAGGAGTAGCATGTATAAAGGAGGCAGGATATGAACTAGATGGCAGCACTCTAGTTCTTTCCTATTTGCAAACGTCTTCCTCTTCCAGCTGCTTTTTGCTGGGGCTGGTGGTCAATGAAACCATTTGCTTGGATTCCAATGCAGAGAAGGAAGCCCTTCCTGCCCTAAAATTGCACTTAGTAGTTGGTTATAAGTATTTAAAAAAAAAATCCAATGATGCTTTGTTTTCAATGCAGTTATAAACTTACTCTTTTCTCATATTTTCTGTTTGCTGCAGTTTCGGTCTGAAATTACTTTCCCAGACTTCTGTATAAAAGGGATTGCATCAGAAAAGCCACCCAGTGCCACGTATTTTAATACTTTCTGTGCTGCCAATGAAACTGAACAGACAAAGAGTTTTAATGATCATTTGCGAGAGGTAAAGCATTTATTTGCTCTGTCTTTGAAGTTCATTTCTTTTTAAGAATGAATAGCAACTGAATTGGTGCACATGCAACGCAATAAAAAGCAGAAAAATAGAGGGTGACTTACATTAAAAGAACCGAAAAACAAGGCATTTGCACACAAAAGGGAGTTTGTTTTAAAAATAGGTTCAGAAGGCATATCTTATTTGTCATCCCATGGCAAAAAAATAGCAGTGTAAACCATAGGATTCTAAAAGTTAGAGTATATTTTCATGTATTATAGCCATTATGTAGAAGACCAGCCTGAATTCTGTCTCCCCATGTACTCTTGAAGAAATAACTTAAAAGGGGATCTTCGAAAAAATAAAAGTTGGCAAAGTTGTTACTCTTATTTGTTTATATTTGGAAATATGAGTATGCCTTACAGAGTGATACTGGCAAGATTCAATCCTCCTGTCACCCAGGAACTTAAAGTTTGAGGAAGGAGGGGGAGCATTCAGTATAACTCACTGAGAAGATCAAGAAAGGAAAAGAGAAGGTAGAGAGAATGTGGATAAATGCCTTTTACTTCTTCATAAAGCTTGTGTATGTTGGAAATAGGAAATGGGCGTAAGGTTGGTCAAAACATCAGTTCAGTGTAGGCTGCATTCATCACACTTGCTTTTTGCTGGTGGGAGGTTAGTGCTCTTCTATCAGGTCCTGGCTGCAAGGTTTTTGTGCACTTCTTTTGTTTGAGCTGTGCAGCTCAAAGGGGAAATGGAAGAGTCCTATTTGTGGAACAGGTTTTTTAGTCCTCACTGTAATTTGTATAACCATTGTTCTCCCACCTTGTCTAGAAGCACTGATGGTTTATGCTAGTGTAACACAAAATAGTACCAAAATAACTTCTTCAGCTTGATTTCTTTTCAGGTTTTCCATTATTATGGCCCTGCATTAAAATTTGTCAGGATGGTGCTGCTGTCTCAGTTGCCTTCATTTTTAGTTTCATATCTTCAATTTGAACTGTATCCTTTTGTTGCAGGACTTCCTTTTAAAATTTAAGTGTTTGAGTGCATGCAATGGTGTTTTTTTTTTGCTTTTTATAATTTAGGTGCTTTGAGTTGCATGCATTGGTGACATTCATCAGAAGAAATTTGGCATCACATTAACTATCCTCATTAATGTCTTCAACTTGTCATAACTATCCATTCAGCTCTGTCATATACAGTACATTTTAATGAATAAATTCAGTTCTTCGTGGCCTCTGTGAATGCACACAAATGGGTTTTACTGCACCTGCGCAGGACTCCTTGGAATATTCTAGAGCTTAAAAAGAGGTGATTAGTAGGACGTTGCATACATTTTAATGAATAAATTCAGCTCTTGCTTATATTTCAGTGTGGATGGAAGCTGTAATTGATTGTGTGAGTACAGCCTAAACTTCTCTGGAAATGCATCCTGCTATTCAGTGGTTTTATTATGAGGTAACCCTGCATGGATTGATTGCACTCTTATTAATTTATTCTTCTGAAATATTGCTAATGGGAAAAAAAGAACTGTGCCTTCTTCATGCATTTATCTTGGCTAGAAGTAGTAAAAGAACATGCTGAAATTAACCGGAAGGACATGCACCTGCTCTTCTAAAATAAGTTCCCTGACGTCAAGGAACATATGCTCAGAATGTCTAGTCTTCTTTCTAACACTGTATCAGGCTTATTGATGCAGATACAATAGCAAAATATCAATGCATTCTAATGCAGAATGAAGGTTCAATTATGAAACAGTAACGCATATCCATAGTCGGTGTGCAGAAGAAGTAGTGGCCATAGAGTTAAAATCAGTGCTGTCCTTGTGGTAAAATTAGGCTTCACCTGTTTGCTCTAGGTATCTTTGGCTAGTTTTTTTTTTGTAGCAAGGAAGTTTAGTAAGGAAAGGGAGCAGTCCCTCATACTTCTCTTTGTGCAAACACACTATTGAATTACTGTATTTTTCTGTGTATAAGACGCCCTCATGTGTAAGATGCCCCTCCACTTTTCTAACCCAAAATTTCTTTCTTTGCAAGAAAGTGAAGGGGGAAGGCAGGGATCAAAGCACTTTGATCTCTCCCCCTCCTTACTTCCCTATATAAGATGACCCTCAATTTTTAATCTAAATATTTTAGACAAAACTATCATCTTATACATGGAAAATATGGTAAGTTGCAATAAACAAACAAATAATATGTGGATTTGCTATGATACATGAATGGTAGGTTGTAAAAAATCACACTGACTCCATAAATCAAGGCTTTATGGGAACACATTCTATGAGTAATGATTTCCAATGCATAAATACACTTGTGAGAAAAAATGTTATGTTTTTGTATAAATTTTATAATTTCCCTTCATGGCTTAAAGTCTCATTCCTTAATCCTCTTTGTAGAAGTTTGGCAGGAAATGATGTTGAGGAGAAGTGTACATTATTTTGGGATCAGATTTCTTCATTGCATGGAAAGGTATTTGTTGCTTTTTAATAAATGAGAATAGAATTTTGTATATGGGTTGCTAAAAATGAATCTCTGTTGTTTCACCTTGCTTATAAGGAAAATCTAAGGAAGTAACATATTGAATTAAATACAAAGAACTAGTTTAGTGTGGTTGCAGTTGTAGGTGGGGAGTCTTCTGGGTTAAATTCCCCCCACCGCCAGTTATGTAAATTCTTTTGAAGTAGCTTGCTTTGAAGGACAGTGCATCCACAATATATTCATCACCATTTTTTGTTCTGGAGTCTGACGCTTATAATGCCTTTAAACTTACAATATTCTACTTAAGTGTATACTCTTTTTCTGTGCCATCATCCTAGCACACAACTCATATATGAACAAAGTCGGGAAAGGGAAGGGGAGAAAAACATCCACACAGAGACAATGGGTAAAAAGACACACACACTGAGGTGTGAGGGGAAGGGAAGGGAAGGACCCATGCTGAATGATTCACAGATTTGGACGTTGGTGAATTTGTAGGGGGAGATATTTCCATATTCAGAGCATGGAGTACCTGAATTCGCATCTCTTGTTTGAACCTCATGCATAGTTCGCATCATTAGATGATGCATTATAAATTCATCATCTAGAATGCTGATACATCATGAAAATATATTTGTGTGCACTTTTCCTGTAGGTAGGGGCTTTATTTGTATTGCCTTGCAGTGTGAGTGCCATGTCGATCCCTTTGCCAAGCCAGTTGAGTGTGAAGAAATGGAAGGAATATATAGCTCAGAAACCCAAAATCATTAATGGTGGGTGAAGTTGTGTGCCTCAAGTAATATATGTACTGTATCTTTCTGTTTATAACACCCCCTGTTTATTAGACCCCCCCACACATACTTTTCTAACTCAAAAATTGAGAAAACATAGCTTTGAGGATTCAGCCTCTGGGCTCAGAACGCGGACATTAGGAGTCCCTGTTGTATCTGATCACTGCCTACAGCTCCACCTCCAACGAGGTGTGTTCCAATTGGTTGTTCAGAATCAGCTGACATCAATTCCATAAAGCTTGTTATTGAAAGAAGCTAAGTCTCCCGACTAGAAGCCAAGCCTCATGATTAAAGGACGCCATTTTACAGAGGCAAGGTACATGCCATTGTGTTCTCTCCTCAGCTTCTGTAAAAGACACGCCTTAATTTTTAGTGTAATGATTTTAGGAAAAAGTAGTGTCATGCATGGAAAAATACAGTATGTGTTACTGTGTTCCAAGTTTTTCTACTAGCAAAATAAAGCATGCTGCTTAACAGATCATTAACACTGACAGACCTCTGGGTAGAGTGGGTGGCGTATAAATTAAATTAAA